TCCAAAAAGAGAATTTCAATATCTCAACGAAAGTACGTTTTGGATCTCCTATTGGAGACTAGGATGCTACTACGCTCTCCGCTGACACCCCGATGGATTCAGTTATCAAATTTGGATTCAGAATCAGTGATAAACTGATTGACAAAGGGAGATACTAGAGACTTGTTGGGAAACTTATCTACTTAGCACATATAAGACCAGACATCAGTTTTGCAGTGAGTACAATAAGTCAGTTCATGAATCAGCCAACTGAAGATCGCATGAAAGCTGTGTATCGAATTCTAAGGTATCTTAAGATGACTTCAGGATAAGGATTGTTCTTTCGAAAGACAGAAAGAAGAGTTGTTGAAATTTACACTGATACAGATTGGGCAGGTTCTACAGATGACAGAAGATCTACATCAGGATATTGTACTTATGTTTGGGGTAACCTGGTTACCTGGAGAAGCAAGAAACAGTTGGTTGTCTCTTGCATCAGTGTAGAATCTGAATTTAGGGCGCTTGTTCATGGTATTTGTGAAGGTGTATGGTTGAAAAGGATACTTGAAGAATTAAAAGCTCTTAACAATATGCCTATGAAAGTATAGTGCGACAACCAATCAACTATCAGTATGGGTAAAAATTCAGTACACCATGACAGAACTAAACATGTGGAGGTCGACCGCTATTTTATTAAAAAAAAATTAGAAGATGGAACTATTACTCTGATGCACATTTCAACGAATTAATAGATTGCAGATATTTTAACAAAATCTCTACCTAAAAGAAATTTTGATGACATAATATCCAATTTAGGTTTACTAAACATATATGTAAATTAGATTGAGGGGGAGTGTAAAAAATAAGGGAATAAATTCCAAATTAATTAGGTTTATTTTTTCATCTATTTTCATTTTGTTTAAAATAAGTATATTCGCTATACATTTTCTGTTTTCTGTTTTAAACGGAGGCAGTCACAAAGTTGGTGGAGAATAACCAATTTCGTTATTTCCTCCTCCCCATAATTCTGTTAGGAGTTTGTTAGAATTTAGGCTATATATATACACACCTTTGGTGAATGGAAATGATAAGCAGAAGCATTATTTCCTCTATTAAATTCTTTAATTTCTGCTGATCTTTAAAGTACCACATCAGCCATTTTGATTTCAACATGTAGTGAAGCATGCTTCTTTATTCAGGTTGAAGAGTATACTGGCTTGAATGTGCAGCCCCACAAGGCTATTGTAGGAGCTAATGCCTTTGCTCATGAAAGTGGTATTCATCAGGTTGGTGTTTCTGAAAGTTTAGTGCAAAGAATTTTGCTTATCAGCTTATTATATTATAAGATATCTTTTCTATCATACATACATTGCCAAGTCTGTATTATCTGCTCCTGTCCCCTGAAAAGCAAAAACAGCCATCTTCACCGTTGACTATAGTTGACTATAGTTTTTGCACAAGTCACTTGGTGTTTTAGACTCTTCTTGAACTGTGATAGGACTCAACTTTACCTCTTCTTGCTGAAGAGCATTTGACTTGGAATTTTCTTTGAGAGAAACTTTTATCGTGGTCAGCTTATGCTTATCTTCATTTGAATAAGAATTCAGAAATCACTCAAACATAAGATAATATTTGGGTCAAAACCTAAGCAGAAAACCCAACCTTTTGTTCTATACTTTGTGAGCTGATAACATCAGCGATGCTGTCTACTGTGTAGGATGGAATGTTAAAGCACAAGGGCACATATGAAATTATATCTCCTGAAGATATTGGGCTTGAAAGATCCAACGAGGCTGGTATTGTCCTGGGCAAGCTCAGGTAGATGGCATTTCATTCTTCAAATTTTCTTTTAGGATGACAAGATTATTTCCTGTCTGTTATTTAAGTTGTTTGAATTATTGCGTTTCTTCTAAATTCTTCAAAAAGTACTTTGGGTCTTCATTAAAAGATAATTTTCTTTCTGCCCAAAATATATTACTGCTAAATATTATAAGTAGATACAACAATGTTAGCAAAAGAGCAGAGCAAGAGAAACTTCTATGTAATGTGTGTGTATGTATAGAAGTGAAAAACTCTCAGCACACACAAACACGCACATCTATATTGAGGTGGATAATTTTCCTTTAGGCTATTTTTGGAATATATCCTGACAAAAATTATGTGGAAGTCTTTTACAAGTCCTCACTTAGCTCAACTAGGAAAAATGTATAGATTATATTAGAGTGACAAAAAACTTGAGCATATGTAGAATTCTACATATGGAATTTGGATAATATATTCCAAATTCCATCAGATTTGGTGAAATTTGGAATGTAATTGTTTCAACTCCTTATGATCTTAATCCTGTAATTTTTTAGTTAGAATTTCCAAATCTTCTAGCTAAGATAAATGTGGAATGAACTTACAAATTCCGTCTGATTTGGTGAAATTTGGAACGTATTGTTTCAATTCCTTATGAACTTAATCCTATAATTTTAGGTAGGGCTTTCAAATCTTCTAGCTTAGTTAGACGTAGATTTACAAATGAATTTCATACAGCAAATGAATTTCATACAGCATTTGAATTTGTTCAAATATAGTCTTGAGTTTCAATGATTATGGGGTAATATAATCATAATTCCGTGCATTATCCTGTAATTGTTTTTGCTGGATGGTACGAATCTATGGATGCAATCTCTTATTCTGATATTCATTTAAAATATGACTTTTTTCAAATCACTTATCCTTTTTTCCATTTTTTTCTTTCCATTTCAAAATTTTCTGGTGAAGTGGGCGCCACGCTTTGAAAGATCGATTGAAAGAGGTATAAAATGTTTTCTAAAAAAGGGTCTCTCACAACTATTTGTAATTACTATCTTTTTATTGTGATTTAACATTCTGTTCATATCTTTTTCCCAGCTTGGTTATGAACTTGATGATGAGCAACTTAAGAACATATTCTGGCGTTTCAAAGCTATAGCAGAACAGAAAAAAGTGAGTAGGACTTTTGATGATAACTTAATATCCCCTTGGAAAACAAAAAATTTTCAATGTATTTTGCATTGACAAATGGTTTATTTTGGGATGCATTTAGTTATACCTTTTAACCTTGATCTAATGGAATGAGATGATTCTACTATTTCCAAATTCTGCATAGGAATGTGCCAAGGAAAGGAATAAAATTTGCGGTGTTCTTCCAACTTAATGAGATGTTTGAGTTGGTAATGCCTAGAACTTGTTGATTTTATAGGCAAAGTTGCTAGGAACTTTTTGGTCATGGACCAGAAAAAAGATAAAAAAGCACAGGGATGTGGTTATTTCCGTTGATCTTTCACTTCGTTTGAGGTGAGTTGGGGGTGCTTCCCAATCTCAATGGAGATTGTTTCATAAGGGTAATGTGACTCCTCTGGGCTATCACTTAATTGTGCATCTCATTACCCTAGAATGTATCTATAAATTAAAATGCACTCCCTATTCCTCCACCCCACTTATAGGCATGGGTGTTTTTAAGGTTATTGTTTTGCATATTATCACATTTATCAAAGGAATTAATTTGATTATGGTTGGGAATTATTGAATTTTAGATTGTGGTATTCCTAAATCCTCTGTCCAAATTAAATACAAAAAATCATAAAATGAACTACTCCTTGTGGGAGGTTAATATGACAAGAATCAAATAATTTGAATAGAATTAAAATGCGAAACTTTTGAATTTGGCTGGTATTATTCTGATTACAGAAGGTGATAATTCCTGTTTTTCATATTACTGGAGTACAATCCTGCTGAAATGGGTGGATGTTGCTAATTTTTTTATAATTGTTATGAAAGAGATGTTAGAATAGATAACATGTTTGTAGCAGCTAAGTTTGTGAAATAACATGATGCTGCATGATTTCCTTCACTGCGTCTTCTGGATGAAGCACAGTGGTAAACTATGGAATATGCGTGTACAGATTTTATGCTCTTTCAACATTGTCGTTTGAATATGATGTTTAGACGTGCCCCATGAAGTGGAATGTATTTTTTTTGAAATAAAATGAAATAGAATGGAGTATGAAGCTGGGCATCTGATTCCTCCTTGGTGCATTTATCCATTTATGCGGCAAAAGCCGAAAAGCAAGGTTTTTTTATTTGATAAACTATTAATAATTATTGCAGAGCAGCAGGAACTGAAATTCTTAAAACATTACTGGGGCATCTGATTCCTCCTAGGGAAACCCCAAGTGAAGGGGATAGATGAGGCTTTTATTTATTTTTTCAGTATTTTAAGCATACAAAATTTGTTTTACTCTCATCTTATTGTTATTATTTTTAATTTATTGTGTCACAGAGAGTAACTGATGCTGACCTAATAGCACTGGTATCAGATGAAGTTTTTCAACCAGAAGCTGTGTGGAAACTCCTTGATCTTCAGGTAAACTTTGATTGCCTTTAGCAATTTGAATTGGATAGGGTAGCCTAGTGAAATAAACATGAACCTTGCTCTATGGGCTGTTCTGGATGCATTGATTTAGTGAATGACTCGTATTTTCTTATCCTACTTGTACGTTCGGAAACACTATAGTACACTTGAATCATTGATCATGTATAATTAAGATAATACTTTAAAAATATAGTAACATAATATTTAAAAATTATTTGCTTATTTTAAAGCAAACTTTATTATATATTTGTATTATATTTAAATTAAATATTTTAAAAATTTATTATAATACAATGCCCTTCTCTTCCCTTTTGTCATTTCCTCCTCCAGTCTAAAGAACAATACTATCATAACAAAAGGAAACCCATTATTTATCAAAATATCTCAAATAATAAATCCAATTCTCATTGTGTTATTTGGTGACAAACTGTTCTAGCTATTTTTGGTGTTTTCTTTCTCTTTTGCAACCTTTAGTGCAGCTCTTAATTTATATGAAACTGACATACAGGTTACTTGTGGAACTCTTGGTCTTTCTACTGCAACAGTAAAACTTATTGATGCTGATGGGAATGAGCATGTTGCTTGTTCTGTTGGAACTGGGCCTGTAGATTCAGCTTATAAGGCTGTTGATCTCATTGTGAAGGTTTGGTGTTACTTATATATATCTTTTGTTCTACTAAACTTTCTCTTTGATCTTGGAAAAAAAATGTGCTCTCACAAGCTCATCTTGAGGTGATTAAGTGGAAATTTGGATACTTTTTGCTCACAGGATAACTTGAGATGCAGGGCAAAAGGCAATGACAGGCTGCATAATTTCTTGCTTAGACAATATATGCTTGAACACTTAATATTTAAGGCAGCCTATGGCATTGTATGATATGTAATATAATATTTACATGCTCAAAAATCTTTAGAATCATTTGCAAATACAGAATTTTTTAAAACAATAATGTGGATTTTCAAATAATTCTACTGTTTTAATGTGGATTTGCAAATAAATTATATATATAGTGGGATTTATTTGTTCCAAGCAGTGTAATAACAGTTTTATCTCTGAGGATTTGGTTTCTTGTTATGGACCATAATCATGTAATAAATCTACTTAATTATCCACAGGAATCAGTAACGTTGCTCGAGTATGCTCTCAATGCAGTGACAGAAAGGATTGATGCCATAGCCAGCACCCGAGTTTTGATTAGAGGGGAAAACAAACACCATTCAACTCACCCTTCAACTGGTGAAACAATTTATAGGACATTTAGGTAAGGAATGTGAAGTGATTTCCTTCTAAGTGTTTATTTTTGCTGCTTCCAAACTCACTGCAAAAACTTTTTTATGGCACTAGTGGAACTGGAGCGGGCATGGATATTGTTGTTTCCAGTGTAAGGGCCTATATAGGGGCATTAAACAAGATGCTGGGCTTCAAGGAACAGTCACCTTCAAAGGCCTCCCTGGGAAAAACTGCATTGTCTGCTTGAAGAGCTTGACAACTCCGTATCTGTATGGTGCACAAGGCAAGCATGATTGTACTTCTATATGAGGTTGCATCTACTGGGCAGGGTTGGGACAAAATCGTGAGAACTCTTGGTCCTCTTTATCTCAAAGTTTTGTTAATTATATGAGACAGAGTATATCGCAATCCAGTGACACATCAAGAGATTTTAGTTTAAGTTTATGTTTATTGTGCATGTGGTTATTCTGCAGAATTGTTTGAAACGATTAAGCTTGATATGAAAAATTTTGAGCCGCTTTAAAAGATGTCTGGTCAGGTAATATTGAACTAATGTATTTCTTTTTAGTTTCATTTTCTTTTTCTGGTATACATCTGTTGTATTCAACAAAATGCTTGTTTCGTCCTCTGTTCTTCGCCTTCTCTTTTTTATTTGCGAGTATCAAGATGCCATATTCTTTACACATTACGCAGGAAGTTTTGGGGTGGTAGGTCATTAGGCTGAATATGTCATCCTGGGGAGCTCCAATATTGTCTGTAAAGAAGAATGATGGGCCTTAGTGGAGCAGGATTGATTTCCGGGATTCGAACCAGGTAATCACCAAGAATAAGAAACATCA